CAAAATATAAATTAAGAGTACAACTAGATACCACTTTCTGCTCATGGGAATGGCTAAGATTAAAAAGCTCATCTTTAACTGGTAGAGAGATGTGCTATTTTGCCAGTATTCCTCTATGGCAGGTGGGGACTTGAGAAAATAGTTTGGCAGCTTAGTGATTTACAGCTTCCAAAAGATTCATCCACTTCTCGTATTTTCCCAACAGAAATGAAAGCATATGACCTCACAGAAACTCACACAGAGATGTTCACAGCAGTTGTATTTGTGTTAAAAGCCTTGGGGAAAAAAAACTTATTGGTTATCAATGAGTAAAATGATAAACTGCAGCATTTTCATAAAGTGGAATAATTTCAGCAATAAAAATGAACTGTTGAAGGTTGATAAAATATGAGTAAACCAGGAAAGGGATCTGTACTATCCAATGTTGAAGAGGATCTTTTTAAATAAAAGCAGTTTTGCTAATTTTACCTGGAAGCATAATAGATGTTCCTCTTTTATCCTGAGCATTTTATACGGCTAATGACTCCATTTGATCCCTGGTGTGCCCTGCCGGCCCCACCCCTGGGGCAACTGAGACTGAGATCGAGATTGGGCGTGGTGGTACGGGCCTGTAATCCCAGTGTTTGGGAGCCTGAAAACAGGAGGATCACTACAAGTCCGAGCTGTGTAGTGAGACGCTATACTTACTAAATACATGTTTTAAAAGTGGTATGTGTGTATTAAACACTATGGCACTAACTAGAAAATATTGCCCAAACCTGGCATTCTGTGGGTTTATGGGTCAGTACAGAATTAGTCATTAGAATCTTTTCATGGGAGAGACTTAAAGATGAATGGGTAAGCCAAACTGTATCTATTCATATATATGTATGTACATGCTTATGCACATAAACACACATATTTGTGATATATATGTACATAATACCTTCCAAATACTACATTCCTTTCTATTCTATTCAAGGGGTACTATAGAAGATATGTATCATATGGTATAACATATTCCACAGATGCTTCTCAATACTTCAAACAATTCAGCATATGTATACAAGTTCAGTTTTTATAGGTTTCGTATAATGTAAGTGTAGGGCCAGCAAGAGAGCTCAGTGGACTAAAAGCTGCTTAGGCAAATGTAGGGACCAAGTTCAATCCCCAGCACCACATGCTGTGCTGGGCATTGAGACTGGGCATGGTGGCACACACCTGTAATCCCAGTGCTGGGGAGGCTGAGACAGGAGGATCACTATGAGTCAGAGCTGCAAATTGAGACCCTATACCAAATACATTTTTTTTAATGTAGGTGTGTATATTTCCAATCTTTTAAAGCACAATATAACACTGGCTACGTAGAGAAGTTATATAACCAGGAAAGAATAGACGACTGTCTTCTCAACTCTTCACAAAGACACAGGATCATCAGATTTGAAGAGTTAGGGCACAGGAAAAAAGAGATGCAGGGAAATCCACAGCGGTCCCTGACCCAAGCCATAGGGAGGAGCAGGAGATAGAAGGCTGGGCTACTGAGAGGGAACTCTTTTTTTTTATTATTAATTTTATTGAGAAAGAAAAAGCATTGAGAGAGTTTCAAAGCAGGTCAGTGGGACAGTTAGAATAGTTAATACATTGCATATTGTTGTCTTTGTAGTAGTTATTCATAGTACAAGATGCAGACATGATATCCTGTCCAAACACTATTAGTACAAATCAGAGGGAACTCTTGTGTCTAGTGGAGTTTTACGTATCTCTTCCGAAGTTTCAGCCCCTAGCAGCCTAGCTCCATTGTTTCTTGGCTCCGAGAAAAAGGGTCACATTCCAGTGCGCGGTCAGCTCTCACCAAGAGATGGCCCGCTGTGTAGTAGGCGGTGACTCCACCAAAGGAGCAGGATTTCCGGGCGAGGGGGAAGCCCAGGATGAGCGCTGTGGTTTCCGCCCTGCCACGACGTGTGGCTGCAAGGGACAAGGAGACTGTTTCCTTTCACTTTCAGCTTTTATGACATCATTGCATTCTCCCCGACCCCAAATAAGCCAAAGAACACACACAAACTGCTACAGCAGTTTTGAAAAATCTAACGTGCCCATTTAATTTTGCTTTCCTCCTGTGACGTTCAGCTCTGTGGAAATCTCAGCGGAATCAAAAACCACAACAGAAACAGAGGCGCCTGTGCTCGAAAAGGAATCCGGACTGGGAAGGAGTGCAGCATCCAGTGAGGGGACTCCCTGCGCAGAGGCCCGCACCCTGCTGGCCTGGGGCGTCAGTCACTGCGGTGACGCAGGGGGGACAAGTGCGCTGTGGTCTAGTGACTGGACGAGCAGTTCCATAGTGTTTTCAATACACATAGTATTCTGGGGTAATCCTATATATAAAAGAAAGAAGAGGATTATACTAAACACTGACTGGGAGGTGCAGGGCCTGCACTTGCGTGCGTTTGTGTAAGACCACGGGTCTGTGAGTGTTGCCAGGCAGACTTATATTTGAGAAACCCGGGTCACAGTGTGAAGTGCGAGCTGTCCAGGCTCACACGCACGCCCGAGCTAGCAGGAGGAGGATCCAAGAAAAACCTCCTTTGAGAGGTTGGATGATTCCTAAATTTCACACACTGGTTTTCTGTTAATTGTTTTAAATCTAAGTTTACATAAATATTAAATCATTTCTCCCCAATCATTCTTCTTTTGGTGGCTATGAGGAATCCTGTAGAGCACTACTCTGAAATTAATGTTGTTACTTTGTAATTAATAATAGTTGTAGTTTTTGAAAGAAAGATTCTCTGATTCTGTTTCTCTCATTCGTCTTTACCAGGCATCTCATTTGTTTCTATGCATTATAATTAGCCATTTTGGAATCACAGAAATGTGATAGTCATAAAGCTCAGTATCTTCGTGATAGATGAGCTTACAAATGAATCAGAAAACAGTGTTTAAAAAGTAAAGCTAAGATTTTGTACCTTAGCTGGTTTAGCAAGAGAAATTAAACACTGGCAGTGATCAAAATAAAAAACAGTGAAACAGTAAGATCGCTCATTATATTAAGAAAAGCACATAAAATATTGTAGTATAATTAGTTATTATGTTTATGGTAAATATGTGCCAAATGTTAATAATAAATAAAATTTTAGTAAAAGATTCCAGGGATTCCAGTATTAGAAAAGATTCTAATACTCTTAAAAGAGCAAAAATTAAAATTTTTTCATCTCATATCATAGATGAAAATAACCTTAATAGAATACAGAATTTAATGAAAAGCAAATTTCTAGGGCAGCAAGATGACTCAGTGGAATAAGCGCTTCCTTCGCAAGCTCAAGGGTCTGAGTTCAATCCCCGGGTCTGCAAAAAAAAAAAAAAAAAAGCAAATTTCCAAGATACGGTACTAAATATAATTCAGGTCAAAAGAGGAATACAACTGGGGAAAAACTTGGCTCTCAGATCCAGACATTTCATAATTTAAATAAAAAAGAACTGCCTAACTCTGTGCACAAGTGAAAGTACAAGCAAGCATCCATCAAACGAACATGGCCGCAAGTTTTAGAAAATGTATTTGTCAAAAATGAGAAATGTCAAAATCACAAATAATATAAGTATTATATTACTCATATCAAAACTCGAGGGAAATAGAATAATAAGAAAAATGATGGCAATGTTTAATTGAAGAAAGAATTGAAATTAGCCAGAAAATAACTGTCTCTGAAGTTTATTCCAAAACAATATTAATTAGAATACTAATAAGTTACTTTTTTGCCCAATAAGCAATTATTTCAATCTGATATTTAAAGCAGTCATATGTTTTATGCAAATAAGCCACTCCTGAAAATGCACCTTAGAAAGCATATTGTGCAATGAAAACTAGATGTAGGAGATATCAATTTACACTGTCCTCCAAGGGTCGCCTTATTTCTTTAGCTTAACAAACTAGTCCTCCTAAGTAGTATTTAATATATAGTTTTCTGACTTCCCATTTAGCTTTCATCTTCCATCTATTCTCAGATTGTTCCAGCTACATTAATTCACTAACCTAGATTCTGCTGCTCATTAATGGCAGGGTTTTGGGTTTGCTGGTACAACTCAGTTCTCACCTGCCTCAAAAGTACCGAAAGCTTCCCTTGCTGTCTCTCCCGACACTTCCTCATTTCCCCTTCCGACTGCTCTGGCCCCTTTAGCTCAGTGCCCTTTACGGGCTATTCTTCTCTAACCCACTGAGAATCCTTCAAGTAGAGCAAAAGTCCTCACTCTACTGTGTGTCTTCTATTTGTAAGTAACCATATCCATTCCTACAGGCTGTGACACACAGCAAGGAGTCCTCAGCTACTAACTCCTCTCATGCCCTTTGTTTTTTCATTCCAGACTCAGACTCACAAGTCCAGTGAGACTTGTGCATGCCTTTTGTGTCTTCCAGACACAGTAGAAGGAACTTCTGAGCATTCCTTTCCTTCCTTGGATCATTCGTATCTATGTCTTCACTGCTTTTTGTAGTATTTCATGTCAGTGACATTACTACAGCTGTTTGGCTTTCTTCTCTGTAAAGCTAAAGTTGCAGCCAAGATGAGTTTGCTTTCACCAATATTTCTTGAAAGAAACACCCTAGGCTACCACTTTGATATTCATTTTGTACATATTCTGTTAATAGAATAAACTTAAGAATAAAGATTGCCACCCTTTCTTCCATTTGGTTCAGGAAACAGACATTCGGAGTTTGGTTTGGGGGTAAAAACAAGTCCAAGATTTATTTGGTAAGAATGTAATAAATAATGAAATGCAATATTTAATAAAATTGAAGAACAAGTTTTCTAATTTTAGTACAATATGAAGTCAAAATCTGCTGAATGAAAGCTACAAATCTAAACATAATAGCATACTAGAATAAATAAAATACAAATAATAAATAAACAATAAATAACATGAGAGCTGTCACTAATGATTTAACAAATTCTCACTAAAGCAGAAGAGTCTCTTAAAATGTCCAGAGATGCATGTATAAGTGTGATATGGTCAGTTAACCAGTGAGAAGCATTTCAAGATGACCCCAGACCTCCATTTTTGCTCTTGAATCTTTTTTGCAACTTTGCCAAGATAGAGGAGATCCTCCTGACTTCCACTCTGACAATTTCCCAGGCACAGTCACTATACTTCTTCTCTTCCAGATAGAGACGGATGCCCTGGAAGTACCTCCTCAGGGCCCTTCTGAAGTCCTTTTGAGCAGGGTCCTTAGTTGCCTGGACAGATTCTTCCCTTCCAGCCTCCTGCACCAAGCAGGACTTCATGATTTCCAGCTGCTGATGGAGTACAGAGTGGAGCTGGTCCAGGATGGTTCCGTTCCAGGCAGAAGAGGCATGCTCTGTGTGGAAGAGGGTGAACATCTGCTCCAGTGTCCCATGGAGGATGGGTACAGCTTGAGCCGTCTGGACCTGACTGCCCATCACCAGCTCCTGGGGGAATCGGAAGTCCCGTCTGTCCTTCAGACACAAGGGAGTGGAGATCCTCTTCATCTGGTCCAACAGGGCAACAGTCTGACTGCTGAGCTGGATGGAACTCTGGGGCAGCTCACAGCCCATGGATCCAGTAGGCCCATAGCCACACAGCACCAGGGCGGTCAGCAGAAGAAGCAGGGAGGCCATGAGGCAAGGAGGATGCTGCTGGTCTGGCTGAGTTGGGACCGGGTGAACCCTGGATCTCAGGTTCTCTGAAGGCACTCTGTCTAGGCTCGGCTTTTAAATAGGGAACACAATTTTCATTTTCTGAACACCACTTTGCACTTTTACTTCCTTTTTTTTGTTTTCATTTGTGTATTCTAAATCTGGGCTTTCACAATGATATCAACATAGCCTATTAATTTACAACAGAAAATTAATTTTCCCAATAAATTTCAGACATATCAATCCAAATGAATGTATCGATCCAGTGATAAGTATATTTGACCTAAAGTCAGAAATATGTGAGAAAATGTAAATAATCATGCATTCAGTCATATACTCCACAAACATTTTCATGTATGCATATGGCTGTTATTGTTTTAGGAGGGTAATATATAATTTTACCTCCTTTATATAGAAAGACACTCCTTCAAACTGATCAATCTGTTTATTTAGGCAACTTGCTAGATCATCTCTGGCCATTAAGCTTCTTATGGATGGATTTATTTATTTCTTCATTCACAACAGAAGCAGATGATTATTAGTGAGTGAGCTTCCCTGGTATCACCTTCCTTCAAGCCGCAGTTGAGCAAGCCCATGTGGTTGTGCTTCAAGAGGGCTACAGGTCAAGGTTCATGTAGACATCACCTCTTCTGCCCCTCATTTTCTCACTGAGGTCTATAGTGCTCTTCAGTCTGTGCCAAGAGTCACAGCATGATGATTCTTATGCTAAGAGGCAGTCATCTCTCTTACCACCACCTCAACCAGAACTGGTGATCACGCCTAGTGACATCGTCTGTGCTAAGGTGACACAGTGTCCTAGCCCTCAGTCATCAGACTTGCTTCCTGGAAGTGGAATCACCTAATCCTGTGGCATTAGAACTTAGAACTTTAGAACAGGTCCCTGCCCCTGCCCCTAGAGTGCTTGAATGAGGGACCTTAACTCTCAGGGGTAACCTTCTGCTCCCCTCATTGACTGTCCCCAGGAGCCAAAATGCCCCCAGTCTTGTCCACAGTCTTCACATGCTGATAACAAAGGTGTGTTTTGTCCAAATCGGTGGAAGGACTCTTCAACTGTAATTACTCCTCCTTCATTAGTCAAGTAAGTTTTATTTTCCTAAATACTGTGTTTGTTTGTTACTCAACCCTTTTATTTAAATTATTGAACAGACAGTATCCCTCATTGGAAGCTAATTGGAAGCTAATGTTGGAAACCAGAGGCATCCAGAAGGTCGGTCAGCATGGTTCCATTCATTTGCTTTGCGTGACTCATTTTGAAATGAAAGGCAGTGAGTCCCAGGCTCCTGTCAAAGAGCAACAGGCTTCTTTCCTTGCTTATTATTTTTCATTTGAGGTTAAAACAGCATTAACAAAATCTTTTTTATAACTTCTTTTTTTATACAATGGCTTAATGCTCAAGGAATGTCTTGCTACTCCCATACTACTTTCTATGAGGCTAATATAAACTAAAGGAAGTGAGAGAAAGGAAAAGGAATGCATCATTTTTGTCTGTGGTTTTTAAGGACACAAAATTTTTATTTCTTATTTCAAGTTTCCTAGAAAGTAAAATTCCACTTGTTAGTGGGCAAAACTGAAAGAAATACAAGTCCAAATGTCACAAAAGTGAAAGAAAGGAAGGGATTTCCCTAATTAATGGTAAAGTGTTAGCAAAATTGAGAACTAGAGCCTATGTCAGAGAAGACTAATTCAGTCCATCAGTCCATCACTGAAGTGGCTGGGGCAGGAAGATGACATCTCTTGTGATAGGCTCCATTCCAGAAGATCAAACTTAGGGTCAGTGACCTGTCCTTAGTATTGCAAGACCAGCCCTTGATATCCTGTTATTTAATCTGGATGTGACCAGTTCTAAGGAGAGAAGAGAAGAGTCTACCCATCCAACTGGTTGAAAAAAGAAACAAACTCCAGTCAGAAAAGCACTACCCCTCTTGGGAGGATGGTGGATGTCAGTCTTGCCTGAGTTCTTCACCTAGTTAGTAATCCACTCAGACAATGGGAAGACTATGGGGAGAAAATTAGGAATGTTTTAATAGACATTAGAGAAGATCTCAAGAGGTTCTGTTCTTAATCTGGAAAAGAGTAATGATGATATTTTTGAAAGTGATAAATTTATTACATGATAAATATGGATAATATGCTGGTATAAAATAGTTAAAAATATTAAGATAATACTTTCAGTAGTAATAAGTAGATGACGCTTATCTATACAATTCCCATGAAATACAAATATAAAGGGATAGACCAAATACTCAAGGTCAGCATCTTAAAGACAGAGGAGACAATGGCTTGTCTACAAGAATCCATTAAAAGAAGTGAAGAGTAAAAGTGATTGTGGAATTTCTACACCATGGAGGGGTCAAAACATGAAATCAGTAGAACATAAAGGGAGGAGCAACAAAGCTCTGAGTTCCACTTCAAATGCCAGAGTTGCTATTTCTCATTTTGTTTAGCAACAAGGGAATTAGTGTAAGTGAATCAAACACACTGACTGTGTTCTAAGGAAAAGTATACAAAATATCTTTAAATAGTCAATTTTTTGTCTGTTAAAACATGTCTAAATTTTTATGAATGATTTCTTTAAAAATATAGTTATATCACTTGTTAATTCATTAACTGTAGTCATCTGGAAGCCTATTTATTTTATTTTATTT